TGTGAGAATGTGGACTGTGATCTTGGTAAATGAGAAGACAGGGAATAAAGTGACACTGTAAAGTTAGAAAAGAGAAGGCATCTTGACATTTTAAATATAAGAGATAAAAATGAGGAGAGGCAATAATTACAGAAAATGAATATTTGAAGAAAATAGAGATCATTGAATTACACTCCTAATTTTACTGTTGAGAATCTAAGGCCCAGAGAGAAGTAGTGATTTTACCAATCATACAGAGTCAGATACCATCCAGATCATGGGTGTAGATCTTGCCGGTTCCACTATTTAAACCTAACTTCAGAACACTGAAGTCTAAGGTCTCCAACTCAGGAGATATTTCAGTCACAGAAACTTGCTGGAAATGAGAATATACTCCCACTTCTCTCTTAGTCTCTCTTTGGTCCCACTTATTCACCACCACTCCCAAATTCAAGAAGAAAACTAAACAGTAAAAATTTCCCTGCATGCTTTTTTTCTCCACCCACATTTTATTTCTTTGACTTGATAATCATACCACCAGCAGTTTTTATGATGTGAACCCACATTGTCCTTGTTGGGACAAATATCAAATTAGAATTACAGCTATGTTTATCTACATGAATGTATCTTAGATCATAGTTTAGTAGTGTTAGTTGTTTAGTCATGTCTGACTCTTTGTGACCCTGTGGATTGTAGCCCACCAGGCTCCTCTGTACATGGGATTCTCCNGGTGTGTGCAGCCTTCTGGTCTTTATAAAGCTCTTTCCCAACAGTATGAAGTTCAGTAATCCATTTTTTAACCTTTTAAATCCATCACAATTACCCCATCAGCCATTTAGTCACAGGGATGAACCTTTTCCACTTGATTCTGGAGAGCATTAGCTATGGGGAACCCAGAAATCAAGCAGGAGATCTCGAAGTGGGGCTGGTGGTTGAATCTCTGCTTGACCCGGTTCATCCCCATACTCACAGGATCCTCTCAGCCCACCTGCCCCGTCACTGCTGAGCCCAACCAGGATAGGGGGCATGTTCAGTTCAGTTCAGTTGCTCAGTTGTGTCCTACTCTTTGCGACCCCATAGTCCGCAGCACGCCAGGCCTCCCTGTCCCTCACCAACTCCCGGAGTCCACCCAAACGCATGTCCATTGAGTTGTTCATGCCATCCAACCATCTCATCTTCTGTCATCCCCTTCTCCTCCTGCCCTCAATCTTTCCCAGCATCAGGGTCTTTTCCAATGAGTCAGCTCTTCGCATCAAGTGGCCAAAGAATTAGAGTTTCAGCCTCAACATCAGTCCTTCTAATGAACACTCATGAGTATACAGATATGCAGTGAAGGCACGGAACCACTGAATTCATGAATGTGATTAGTTTGGGGGAGAGAAAGTGAGGAGTAAGATTGGGAAAAACTACCAGGGGACCCTAACTGTATCTGTAATCTTTTATTTTTCCAAAAAGTAAAAGAAAGAAATAAAGAAGTTCTGAAGCTAATAGGACATAAAGTAGAAAGTTGCATATTGTTCTCATATTCTCGATTATCAGTATATTCAAAATGTCTCACAAGTTTGTTAAAGCTCAAATGTGAATCATGATTTACTATTGTCAGCATTCATCCCTCCATCTCTTATAATTCTACTGATGATTCATATTTACCAAAAAAGGTTGAAAGGAAAGTTACAAACAACAGCAATCAATGCAGGCAAATGTATCTCTCCCACATCCTCTGTATAAGGGTATAAATCTGCCAGATCTCTTCAAGATAGTATTGAAAGATAAATCGGCAGTGCTAGAAGCTTTTAGACCAACAAATCTTGACATGACTTTCTCTGTGATCTTAACTAAGCAACTGTGGTTTAACAGTGGCAAGAATTTCCAGGAATCCAGAAGTCAGAAATAATGGCAGTTACCAGAAACCCACCCCCTGCCCATGTCCAAAGTAAGAAGTATCATGGGAACAAATGCTGCAGGCAGAGTCCATGTGTGAGAATACAGCATACCTGGGGAACGTCGGGAACAGTGTTTTTCATTTTGTCACTCCACTGCAGACCAGCTGGGCAGCAGTCCAGGGCTTAGTGCTATCAGGCCTCCTTTCCTGCCTCCCTAACCCCTGAGGACTGTTGGTCCTCACTGTTTACTCCCACTGAAACAGACACAATGGCAGAAGCAGCCTAAGAAAGAGGAGCACTGACTCCTACTCCAGTGGAGTCAGACTTAGGAAAAGGGATGTTGGAGTGGTCCTTATTAGTTAACAACAAAATAGCCCACAATTACTGAGCGGCTATCAAAAGCCAGACCCTGCTAAATCCATGAGATGAATTATCTGATTTAATCTTCACAAAAGCTCTGTGTGACAGATACTATCATTATATTCATTTTAGAGACAGGAAAACTGAGGTTCAAAGAATACAAGAGACTTGCCAAACTCACATACTATTAAGTCACCCTAGGATGTGTCTCATACCTTGTTCCATTTCTCTAGGATATATAGGGGAACCTAGAAGGGGATGTTTATAACAACTGACCTCAGACCTACAATGCCATATCATCCTCCCGAGGGAAAGTCCCTGACAAGTACAGAAAACTGGGGAGATGGCTTGAAAAGCCTCAATAGAAATAAATATCAGGCTGACTATTGGTGAAAAAGTGAATCCAGGATGCTAACCAATTGCACAGCAAAAATGTGAAATAATGTAAGGGATGTTGGAGTGGTCCTTATTAGTTAACAACAAAATAGCCCACAATTACTGAGCGGCTATCAAAAGCCAGACCCTGCTAAATCCATGAGATGAATTATCTGATTTAATCTTCACAAAAGCTCTGTGTGACAGATACTATCATTATATTCATTTTAGAGACAGGAAAACTGAGGTTCAAAGAATACAAGAGACTTGCCAAACTCACATACTATTAAGTCACCCTAGGATGTGTCTCATACCTTGTTCCATTTCTCTAGGATATATAGGGGAACCTAGAAGGGGATGTTTATAACAACTGACCTCAGACCTACAATGCCATATCATCCTCCCGAGGGAAAGTCCCTGACAAGTACAGAAAACTGGGGAGATGGCTTGAAAAGCCTCAATAGAAATAAATATCAGGCTGACTATTGGTGAAAAAGTGAATCCAGGATGCTAACCAATTGCACAGCAAAAATGTGGTGAAATAATGAGGTAATTGAGTGATAATGTCATAAGAACTTTAAGATTGTTTTCTTCAGTGTAGGTTTGTTTCTTTTCATCTGCAGAATTCTTTACATGAAATCTTGGGCTAAACAACAGGATGTCAAACAGAAGCAGGGTTATTCAGGCTGGACCTGGGGGGTTGGGGACTAGGAGCAGAGCTCCTTGATTTACCTCCACAGGCTGAGTTTACAACCCCCTCATTTTATAGATGAGCAAAGGGAGACCTAGAGTGAGAGCGTGATATGCCAGAGTCATAGAGATGTGATTAATGTGCCTTGTTTTATTTACTGTGTTTAATTAACTGTGTCAGGTTGTTTTAACTGTTTTTCGTGTAGACTTAATCCCTACCACAACTCTATAAGGAAAGCATAATTATATCATAAAATCTGCAGGTGAGGAAACTGAAACCAGAAAGGTTAATAAACAAATTGCTCAAGGCAAATCAAAGAACCAAGATCAAATCCAGATGAGACCTAACCTCAAAGACCCAGCGATTAACTGTGAGGATGCCTGACTAAGAGGAGAGAAGCCAAGTCAGATCTAGAACGCAGGTCCCTGCCTTACAGACCAGTGGTCCTTCATGTTCTCGCAGCCCCCATGCAGTGTCTGCTCCCATGGGGTACAAGGACAGCAGGTGTAGGGGGAGGGTCTGAAGAGTGAGTACATGTTAGAAATTTGGAGAAGCAAAGTTTTCTAGCTAAAGGTCATGCATTTAGTGCCAAGGGCATTATTTGGGGGATTTTTAAGTCTGGGGTAGTTTTAGTCTGGGAGCCTCTCCCTGCTGGAGATACCAAGGTGCCTAGGCTGGAACTTCAAGCAGAGGAAGCAGAACATGGCTGCTTCAGATTTGCTTTAGGAACCTCTGGTGCCTTCCACCTTATCAAGCCCAGGTCACAAAACTACAGGGGGAAGTTGTCTATCAGAGAGTAGAAAACCTTGGCTAGAGGTTCTCCTGGGCTCCCCCTCCAAGGAAACATGGTGGTGCTCCAGGAAGACATGGAATCCTTACAAGTGTTAGAAATAATTTCTTGGTGTAATGCTCATTTGTCTTCCAAAAGAGTCCTCCCGCAATCCACACTCTTCCCACAAGCCACAGCTCATGCTGGTGAATGCCGTACGTGAGACCACTAGGCCTCACCTTGGTTTCCCTCTGAAAAGAAGCAAGGAGCTTGCATTAGAGGGATCAGTGACCCCAGTCTGCCTGGGACTGTTTTGATTTTAGCACTGAATGCATCCTGGGAAAGCCCTGGTTCCCCGCAAAACTGGCAGGGTTGGTCACCGTATGTCAAGCCTCAGATGACTTGACAATTTCTTAGAGCAATAACTCTGAGTGACCTCAGTTTGACGTACACACACACACACACACTGTAGCAGGTAGGAGGCAGGAAACTGCCTGTTTTCCTCCAGTAACATTAACCCTGACAAAAATAGGGTTGAGTGACTAAGGCCAAGTTTATGACCACCACTGGTCCCCAGAGGAACCAACTGCCTGAGCTTTCTTCCTGAACTGGGGCATCTTGGGAAAAAAGGAAGGAAGGGCTTAGTCACTCCCTGGGAGTGGCAGCCGAAAGCAGCCTTCTCTCCTCCTCCTAGAGTAAGCTCAAAGCCTCTTTCTTTAGGAAAAGTAGATGCTTCCCAGGTTTCACCCCCTTTTCACGATGTCAGAATGACAAATACTAAGTGAGGAAGAGGAAGGGAGGAGAAGACGCCAGAAAGTGCAACCATCTCCCCATCTTGAGAAGAGTAGCTCCACAACCCAGCAGATCCCTAAGCCTTCAATGGACCCACCACCGCCTCAGGCATTCCACAGGCCGGGTTCCCCCTTCCCCCCAGGAAACTCACCTGGGCCCCAGGACAGACTTGGCTCCCCAGGGATGCAGAAGCAGCCACCCATGTGTGCACCATCCTCCCCAGGCCGAGGCCCCTGGGAACACCAGTCAGAGGAGCACTGGGAGGAGACAGCCTCCCAGCGGTGTCCCTCCTCCCGCCTCCTCCCTGGCACACGAGGGACCAAGTCCCGCTCAAAGCACAATGCAGCCTTTGATATCCTGGCTGCGGCAGCAGGCCCGGGGAGGATGGGAGGGGCCGCCCAGCCCTCAGGACCCATAGTCCTTGCACTGTCGGGCCTCTGACTGGGGAGCAGAGCTCCTCCCTGCCTCTCTGCAGATTGCTTCATGCCTATCAGGCTGTGGCACATTCCACACATTCTAGGATTGAGATACACAGTTTGGTTCTTGTGAGGGTGGACGGTGTGGGGGAGTGGCACGGGAGGAGGAGGCAGAGAGCATCTCAGGAATCAAGGCTGCTTCTGTTCTTGCTCCCTCCCCGCCTGGCCTGGCCCACACGGATTCTCCTGCTGCTGGGAAAGCGCTCCCCACCCAGTCTCTCTCTGCAAACACCCCACCTTAGCTATTTGGGTGAAGCTGGAGCTGTGGGTACGGCATTTCACCTCAGCCCCAGCCCTGGCTGCCAAAATCAGAAGGTCAGAAGGAATCCAAGAAATTGTCTGATGTAGCCCAACATCTTACAGGTGAGAGGATGGAGGACCAAGTAAGTATGTTAAGGCTACAAATATGCACACAAAATGGGTCACACCAGACCAAACTCTTTTCCATCTTGTTTAAGGAGGAGTCAGTCCTAAAGGAAATCAACCCTGAACATTCACTGGAAGGATTGGGGCTGAAGCTCCAACACTTTGGCCACCTGATGAGAAGAGCCAACTCATTGTAAAAGACTCTGATGCTGGGAAAGATTGAGGGAAGAAGGAGAAGGCGGGTTACAGAGGATGAGATGGTTAGATGGCATCACCAACTCAAAGGACATGAGTTTGAGCAAGCTCCAAGAGATGGTGAAGGACAGGGAAACCTGGCATGCTGCAGTCCATGGCGTCACAAAGAGTTGGACACAACTTGGCAACAATAAGAAGCACAGCAGTAGGATGCAGTTGAGACAGTATGGCTGAATTTCAGAAAACCTCCCATGGCATCTCCTAAGGGAGATGGAGAAAATATAGCCATATGCCAGTAACATTAGACAGAGGTATGACTGATCCAGCAACCAAGCTGAAGTATCATAAGTTACTTATTTTTCCTTAATGCCTAGAGCAAAGGTCACTCCTGAATGGTCCAAAGAGTGAAGGGGTGTAGCCTAGGGAAAGCAAGTAGTCCTGCTGTGCAGGCTACTTGGAGGTTGAGCTTGCAGCCAGTCACATGACCACTTCAAGGAGGGAGGTGGCCTGTTCAATTTTATATTCTGAGAGGAGCACTGGGAGCATCAGGAGCTCCCATGAAGGAGCACCTAGGCATCAGTCTCACTGGAGTGATCGGGGGTGTCCATCACACACCCCAGCTCAGTCCCAGGTGACAGGTTCTCCACCATGTCTCCAAAGTCTGGCTTCAGTTTCAGTGCTAATCCATCTTGATTCCCAGTGACTGAATGTTCACTATGGGTTAGGCTCTCATCACACATTACTTAATTTAAGTCCCATAACAGCCTCATAATATTAGCATTATCATCTTTATTTTGTAAGTGAGGAAGCTAATGCATGTATAACTTGCCGAAGGCCCCACCATTTATGAATGTTAGATTCAGGGCTTGAGCCAAATTTAGTTGATTCCACAGTCCAGTAGCTTTTCTTTTCTAATAGTCAGGGTCTTTCCATGAATACAATGAGGAAGGATTTGGTGATCTGATGCTGAGCCCTCTGGAGCTTNGCATGTATAACTTGCCGAAGGCCCCACCATTTATGAATGTTAGATTCAGGGCTTGAGCCAAATTTAGTTGATTCCACAGTCCAGTAGCTTTTCTTTTCTAATAGTCAGGGTCTTTCCATGAATACAATGAGGAAGGATTTGGTGATCTGATGCTGAGCCCTCTGGAGCTTAGCTGACCACTTACAGAGGGCCCAGGAGAGGCCACCTGGGGTGGAGCCAGGAATGCAGGGACACAGGGTTTCTCTGATCACAGAACTACCATGAAAGATGTTTTCTCTGCACAGATCAGTTTAAAGTATCCACTTCCCATAACATGTCTCATATCTTTTCCCTTCACCAAAGCACAGTGTTTTATGTATGAATTCAGATGTTTTCTTGGGCCTAAGATAAAAGGGCAAGGACTTTTTTTACAAAGCAACCACTCAGAACTTTGGGGGGTATGTGAGAACTGGTGAAGAGAAACCATGGTATAATTTGCAAATGATGTTGAATGCTCAGACTTAGCTTTTCTCCTTGACTTGGCTGAATACCATTTCTATACAGGTGCAACGATGGAGGTCAGAAATTATAAATGATCAAGAACAACCAATGGAAAGAACCCCAGGCCAGCTCAGAGAGGACAGCCTCAGGAAGTCGGTTGAGACACACATTTTGGCAAATCTGAACTAAATGGTCCATTTTGGAAAAAGTCATTGCTTCTCTTGAGATACAAGAAAGCAGTGTTCTTCTGCTTATGGGAAGCTCAGATGAATTAGCTAGAACAAAGAGCTTTCCAGACAGAGAACAACAGGTACAAAGGCCCTGAGGCTGGAACTTGCCTAGAAAGCTAAAGGAAAAGCATGTGTGATTGGAGTCTCATGAGGGAGGGAAGGCTGTAGAGATGAGGTCACTGAAGGCCAATTGTGTAGGACTTTGAAGGCCATCTAAAGACTTCAGCTTTTACATTGACAGAGATAGGAGCCAAGGGAGGACACTAAATAGAGGTGTCACATGACTGACTTGTGGTTATAAAGGGTCTCTCTGGCTGCTCCTTGGAAAATAGGCTATAGCTAGAATAGCAACCCACTCCAGTGTTCTTGCCTGGAGAATCACAGGGACAGGGGAGCCTGGTGGGCTGCTGTCTCTGGGGTCGCACAGTCAGACAGGACTGAAGTGACTTAGTAGCAGCAGCAGCAGAATTCCAAGTATGCAACAATTGTAACATCCAGAAGAGAGATGATGATGGCTTGAACCAGGGTAATAGTAATGGACATTTATGAATGAAGACTTTATTAGTCAAAGTTGTCTAAGAGAAGCAAATCCACTAGGATATGGATGTGTGTGTGTGTAAGGAAGAAGGCACTATCCAGTCCAAGGACAAGCCATTCCTAGGCTTCTGGCAATGAAGAACATGGCACAATATTCCTCTGGTATGTGACCAGACATTCTGATGTGTTATGAAAACCAGACACTCATATTTTCAGGTATAGTTTCCAAATTTTTAAATGTTCGCAAACTGATTCAAAACATTTTCCAAATCACTGAATGGGCCAATACTTCAGGGCAGATAAACATGCCTATAGGTCACATCCAGCCTGAGACCAGCCAGTTTGCTATATCAGATGAAAAATTGAATTTTTCTCTTATAAAATTTACAATCTAGTTGGGTAATAAGATATGTACTTGGATACTAAAATTCACTGGAAGAACTGAAAGACCATCTTATAGGTAGAATTATGGCCCCCAAAAGTGATATATTGAAGCCTTAGCCCCCAATACATGAGAATGTGACTTTATTTGGAAATATGATTGTTGTAGATATAATTGTTTAGCTTCAAATAAATTCATACTGGAGTAGGATAGGCCCCTAATCCAATATGACTGGTTACCTTCTTTAAAAAACAAACAAACAAAAACACTCTGTGAAGCGGTACACAGATGGTAACAATGAACAGAGAAATTAGCATTCTGCAGCTATAGGCCAGGGGACACCAAGGATTGTCAGTAACCACCAGAAGCTAGGAAGAGGCAAGGAAGGATTCTCCCTGCAGGTTGCAGAGGGAGCATGACTATGCAAATGCCTTGATTTGGGGCCTCTAACCTGCAGAATTATGACACATTAAGTTTCTGTTGTTTTAAGCCACTCGGTTTGTGGTACTTTGTGAGGGCAGCCCACGGAAACAAATGCAGACTACATGAGAGGTAAGAACAACAGGCCACTTATCCAATCACATTATTCAGTGGACAGAAAATTATAGAGCATCCCACTAATCTAGGTTGTGATCTAAGTTGTAAGGACAGAGCAGTGAACAAAACAGACAAACGACTCTCCCTTGTGTAGCATACATTCTACTAAGGGAATAAGACAAGAAACAGAATAAATAAGTAATTTATGCAGTGTGTTGGACAGTGGAAAGTGTTACAGGAAAAAAAAAGGAACCATCAGAGTAGAGGGGCTGCAATTTTCAAAAGGGTGGAGAAAGAAATGGTTGCTAAATGGCCGAGTCCCTTCTCTGTTCACCTGAAACTATCACAACATTGTTTATTAATCGGCTATACCCCAATACAGAATAAAATGTTAAAAAAATGTATCTAGTTTTAAACAAAGGAGTGGTCACTGAGAAGGTGAGAGCTGAGTGACTTGGGGGTGGAGAGGATCATGGGCATCCAGGAGAAGAGCCTGCCAGGAAAAGGGAAGTGCCGGTGCAAAGGCCCTGAGGCAGGAGGGTACCCAGCATGCTAGAGGAAGAGCCAGGGAGAGTGTAACTTGAGCAGAGTAACAATGGGGCCAGAAGCAGAGGGTACCTCCAAAGGAAGAAGTAAACACGGTTTAAAGAAGGGGCTATTTACAGAAGTGTGGGCAGAGTTAGAGAAAACCAGCAAGGATGGTGAGGCACTGCAGGGCTAGGACGATGAAGGAGCCGTTAACATCCTGAAGGGAAGCCTGAAGGGACAAGAGGAAGGAGTGGCTGTTGGAACCTAGCAAGAGCTGGCCGCAGGCCAAGGTTGACGACAGGCGCTGTGTTATTAATAGTGGAACCCAGCTGTGGCCTAGCCAAGGCCATGTGCACATGTGGGCCAGAGGAATAATGCTCCATCCTCTCACCTCCCAGCTTCCACTGACTGAACACAGCCGGAAGCCCAAGTGTGAGAGAGCTGAGCTGAGGACACCTGCAGAGGCCAGCCTCCAAGGGGCCCAGAGCAGTGGAGAAAAGGGTGGAGAGAGGATTCCAGAGGATAACTGAAGATTATCCAATACAAGGGGAGCGGTAACATTGTCCTGAGGGTGCAGG